AGCCGTATTCTTCGCAATTTGTTTGCTTGCTTCGGTGGATCAATGAGGTCCACGGCATCTACTTCAAGCTCTCCTACTGATTCTGGTCCTTCAAGGAGTAGTAGACCACTCCCACATTTCAATACGGAGCCAAGACAACGGCGGACATGGTCTATGGAGGTTAACAGTGGGACAATGAGCTGGTGATTTGGGAATGTCATTGTTAGCAAGGCTAATTACGAGAAGTTCTCGCTGGGATGGGAACTGAGAGAGGCAGGCTTATTTATTGCTGTAAATAGCAGAATTTCAATTTCGGGTGGGAATGGGGCAGTTATCCCAGCTTTATATTGATAAAAGGCAGAAGGTTTCTCAAGCGAAGAAAGGTTTTTTTCTTTTTGGGTGCTTTAGAAAAGTGATATTGCAATAGAAATGTGGGAAATAAATGCAGTCTTTCGTAAGCAGATAAAAAAGAGGTGCCTCCTACTGCATAAGAAAGCTATGGAGAATACAAAGTTGATGTTTAAGTGCTTGAAGTTGCTTTTGTAGAGCAAGGTGCGTGATCCTATTAATATAGTCTGTTAGAAACCAGTTTCACAGGTGGAGCCTAGAGCACCTGCAATTCGTATCATTACAATATCTATTATCAAGTATTGACTACTTAAATATGTTGTTAGGCTCAGTTTTTTAAAATGATCCGTAATTTTAAAGAAATATGTGAGCTCTTGTGAGGCATGTGGATGAATGTTGCATCAGCTTAGTTACTTGCTTTGACTATTGTTTTTCACGCCTTATGCTTGTAATGGTGTATATTTCTAGAAATAAATTGCATTATTGCGTTTGTACTGAAGAACTTGCTGTTAAGCAGTGTTGATATCTCTCCTATTGGCCTCTTCTATGTCCACACTATTGAACTGCGGTTTAAATTCGTAGTTCTTCATGTTTTGTTAGTCTGTTAGTCTGTTATCTTAGAATCATTATGATTAGGTTTAGATTCATATTAACTGAACTGAGATGTAGACTTACTCTTCTATCTGCCGAAGCGTCCTTCCTAGGTGCGATCGAGATAGACTTGGTCCGCTTAGATGGACTGGTTTAAGAGGGTGTTTATAATCTGTTGTAGTGTCTATTAGAGAAGCTTATGGAGATTGATGATTAGGTTATTTGAGCTAGAGTTCTTAAGTATAATGCTGGTTCAGTACCTTCCGGCTCTGGCTTGGGTCTGTGAAGAAGTGAACTATTCTCAATGAGACGAGCAGTTAACCTTTACCCTGGAGAGGGAAAGAAAAGAAAGGAACACATGCATTTGACTTCATCTCCCAAATTTTTAACCTTTGTTGGATAAGAGGAAGAGGAAATTTTCTTGAAATAGTTCGGCATCATATCTGATTGGATTGATACTGAAATTAAGTTGCGAAAGTAGATGCTGGAATTTTAAACTTTTCTTCTCTGGAAATTTTATATTGATCAATTCTCTATTGGTGGACAATAATCAAGAGCTAAATTATAATCACGAACCATACGTGCTACTGAAGAGAGTAGGGAATGCATATATTTAGTTATGGATTATTTCAGATTGTTTAATAATTAATTATATATCTAGTTTGACTTCCTTCAAACAAATAATCCTAGTCTTTGGCTTTCTAAGATCTGATGGTAATACTACATTCATTTGGTCAGAGTATAAGGTTTTTATTCATTCCATTTCCACAATTTACTCTCATTGAGGTGAATTTGTAGCATTTTCATTTTTAGGTTAGACTTACGTTCTCACTTCTCGTTACACATTTTATGTGACGTACTCCTTTGAAGACATGCTTCTCTTTACTAATCTTTTGACATATACAATATACATACACATCTCCACAGTTCTTTCTCGTAAGTTTCTGTTTGCCTACTTTTACTCCCATATACCTGTCTTTGTTCTCACTAGTATGTTTAGTATATCATTTTTTAGTTCTCCCTAAAATTTTGTGCGATTTCGTCGCCAAATTTTATCCATGCACAATGTTTGGCACACTCTCCCCGAGCTCTCTTGGCGCTCACAAACTTCACTCCCACAAATCTCTCTTCATAGGTCATTGTAATAAATTTAGAACAGGAAAGTTAGTGAAACGAAATGGTGTTTGTAGTCCCAAGAGTAACATCTAGGCATGCATCAACATTTGGAAGAATAAGAATAGATGTTGGGGCCAATTTTTGGAATGAACCATGTGACCGTACAACGGATTCTTTCTTTCCTTTTTTTTTTTCCTCTTCTTTTATGTAACTATAAGCTTTACTGACTTTAAGAGTAACCTGCAGACCTTTTTCTAACATGCCATTAATAGTTGGATTTCTTTTTAGTTTTAACAAAATGGTATGATTGGTTTGAGCAATATATGTTGGTTGGTTTGGTTTGGTTTAGTTTGATGAGATATGGAACCAAAAATTAGTTGGTGGATTCGACTTCGATAGATTTTGTCAGTTTCAGTCGAGGTCGGTTTAGTATATTCTGGGCGATGCATCCTTGAAGACGTCGACTGGTAATGGAACCTAATTTTAGATGATGATCCTATGGGTAATGAGGAATGGTCTTTGAGTTATGCAGGCAACATTCTCAATCAATTGTTTGGTGTAGATGCTGTTGAGAAAGACAAGTCCTTTGGGTTGACTTGGTAATGTCTAAATCAAGAACCTACTCAGAAAAATGTAAATTCTTTGAATCTAAATGGACTGGGAAAAAATGGACAAGAGTCTTGGTTTTTTTTTCTTTTTTTAATTATTAAGTTCATTCAAAAGTTTGAACACGCAACTTTTGAGTAGGTGTTACTCAGAGATCATGGGTGTTGCGAAACATGAAGGTGCATAGTGCATACTACTGCTAGCAAAGACTAGAGTTTTTTTTTTTCTTTCTTGATTAATAAATATGTAGACTTGGGACCATTTGCATTAATGACGTTTTTCTTGGCTAGAAAGTGAAATTTATCAAGTTTCCCAATATAGCCATTAGGTTCACAAATGAAAAGCAAATGAAAATGAACTGTTGTACAGTTTGTAGGAGTACTTCCCTAAGGCTATTTCACAATAATATCATTACATAATTGAGGCTATCAAAATTGACATTCATTCTATTGATCCAAAAAAAAGTTAGTTAAATTAAATAATTTTAGAATCCTAGTATAAAAACTCAGATTGACAACCTTATTATTCATTTTCAACCCATTAAACTTTATATGTATTATATATTTTATTTATTATTAATTTCTAGGTTAGTACTGGTGGGTTAGTTATACTCTGTCTATGTGGTTTAAAATAATTTAATACTMTATGATATTACAACATGTGGGGATGGAGACCGAATTATTGCTGAGCTATGTTCGTTTTGACAATTTGATCTTTATAATTTAGTTAAGTCTTACYRACCATTTCTAATATTGACTATTAATTCAAAGGGAAAAATAWAAATTCATTGTCATGTAAATAAAAAATGCWGGACATATACTCAATATGGCAAAGATTTGCAACTCATTTTTGTGGTAAAGATTTGCAACCATTTAGAAAAACAAAAATGAGTTGCGACACTTACCTAAATCATAAAAATAAAATTAAAAAAATACAATTACAAGAACCAAACAAAATCATACAAACAATAGAGATTAAATTTAAAATTTTAAAACCACATAAAATAATTAATAATAATTAATGACCTCAAATGAAGACATATTTTGGTAAAAAAAAGTCATCAATTTGGACTTCACCCTCACATATTATTGTACTAAAAGAAGAGCTTAAATTTATACCGACCAACTTCATAATACAGCTGAATTTGTAATGTAGTCATACAAAAATTAAAAAAAAAAAGTGAAAAGAGTTCAACTGGAGAAATCGGCATAAAATAACTTCAAGAGAGTAAATAATTGATGGTCGTTACAACATTTTTTGATAAYACTGAATTATTTGTCAACAAATAAAAGTAGTATCCATACTATTACAGTATAATACTCGAGGAGAAAAAAAGGAAAAGAAAAAAAACAATATATATAGATGAAATTAGTTCATCTGCAAATGCAGGGGAACAAATCCCGACAACCAGTAAAACCAAATGTGCAACGTGTCCCGTGACGATGGGGTCCAATCGGCAAAGCTGACAGTCCAACAAGAGTCCGCCACGTAATGTCTACGAGCCTTCATTTTGCACGCCGATCGGTTGCAACGGTCAAGGGTATTTTGGGAAGAAAACGACGCTCAAAAAATAATCGGTGCAAGTACCGAGATGGGCCCATCATGGGCCATTGCTATTGGGAAAAGCCCATAGGCCTTTATTAGGATTAGATTTCATAGGGCCCGGAATGGGCCCATGTCAATAAAAATCTTGGATTTTCTCTGGCAAATAATTATAAATTAAAATTTAAAATAAATAAAAAGGAAGAAAAATACTTAAAAGTTGTGGGCCCTGGAATATTAGTGATAAGGAGAGGATTTGTTTGACTTTAGGGTATGCTTTTTTATTATAGCTGGATCCAAAAAATGAGTGTGAATGACTAGGGAATTATTATTCCTTATCTAGCATGACATTCTCAATTAACACTAATCATGCACTTACTCTAACTTTTTATTTCTTTTATTTCATTTTAGTGCTCTCTCAACTTTTCTAAAAATGGTCGATATAAACTTAGTTTAGTTCAGCAATAATTACATCTGTATCTAATAAAGAGGTCATGAGTTCAAATCTCACCTCAACTTTGTTGTATTTAAAAAAGAATCTTAAAAATGTACTCTTATTTTATCATTAATTTGTTTTCATTTTGGGTATATTAATTTTCTCGTTAACTTTCCTACAATGACATTTAAACCCCATTTTCCAAACACAAATAGTAACACTTGGAGATTTTCCAAACAAATCATATAATGTTATTTCCAATCGTCTCTTTTGAAAAACATGTCCATTGTCATCATTCTAAAGGGATGATTTTAAGCTCTAAAATCTCCAAAACGTGGTAACAACTAAATACCCACTGTCTTGCTCCCTCACGAGAGGAAAATCAGAAGACAGTGGACCATTAAAAATAAAACGAGAAATGGTGTTTGTGAGTAATGCATAAGAATATGTCATCAGAAGGGAAACAACAACAGAAAACAACTGCTAATACTATGTACGTTTAATCTCAAAACGAATGGATTTAGTGCATATAAAAATTGAAAAAAGAAAAAAAAAAGGAATATGAAAAGAGTTTTAAAAATTGTGGGTGGGGAGGCTTTGAAATGAACGTAAGAGTGCATTATGAATTTATAGGTTATAATGTGTTTCAAAACTTTTTCTTCTTCAATCATCGAGTCAAGCACACTCTTAAATCAAACTTCAAGAGAAAATAGTAACAATCAATRATAATAAATATAAGCACTATTTTGTTTTTAAGTTTGGTCCTACTTTGGCACGCCAAGCTAAAATTGCAATTATTTATTGGAATTGAAAGTTTTTTTTGTTTGTTTCTTTTTTGGGTCAAATTTTTGGTTAGATTGAGAGATAAAGAAGATGATCATGTCGAGTAAAAGTAGATTTTCTCACTTGACTTTGGAGAAATTAAAGTGTGTTTAAAGGAAGKGGAAAATTATTAAAACATCTTGTGGAATCAAATTTTCTTTTCTTTGAGCTCTTCTAAATGGCAYTGGGAACGAGATTGACTAGTCTAAATTCACTCTAAAAAATTATTTAAAATGCTGATTTATGGAACGTTTTGATCGACGGTAAGAAAGTATCGAAGTTGTGTTTCATCATCTTATTTATATTTGAACCTTTAATTTTTTTTATCAAGAATATATGACATATGTTTCAATTGTATTATTTTTGAGATTTTGAAATTTTGAATCTCTCATGTTATAACTTTGGTTGTTATTGTTTGTAAGGATGAAGCGTTACAAACTTAATTTTGTTTAATTATTAGTAATAATAATCTTCCTATCATCTCTAGTAAAATTGACAAAGATCGACAAAGAACCATACTTCACTATGGGTTTGGTGGTAGGAATTTCCTTCGGCCTACCATTAACTTTTTGATAGTTTTTTTCTTGAAATAAACAMAAAAAGTCTCTCTTCTCACCTTCATTGGATTCCTCTCTCTTATCCATCAAAAAACTAGTGGTGGGCAAAATTCCTCCCGCCTTGTCGATAAAGAAGTATTGTTCGATGATCAACAAATGACGATGTATCATATATACTAGTCAATTACTAGTAGACCATGTCAATATAGCTAATGTAGAGTTTGGTATCTTGGGGGGTTAAATGGAAAAAGTTCACAAATTAAATAAGTTACCTTTATTGTCACTGACARATAACCGTACATAATATTTACCCAGCATGGTTTCTTGGGGGATTATAGTAGAAAAGTTGACAAATTTAATAAGTTACCTTTATTGTCACTGATAGATAACCCGTACATGATATTTTCACCAGATATGGCCCCTCTCATCAAATTTTTCATAGTCATTAGAACCTTAGCCCATTTAAGAATCTCCTCCTTCCATTCTATCCCAAAAAGTAACCAATTCGATCACGAATGTGATGATTCTAAATCTAGTACTAATTGGCTAATATATCTGGAGCTTAGGTATAAAATTAGTGACAAAGTTAAAAGGGAAAATGTGAGGCATTAACAAAATTTTGATATRTGTAGATGGTGAAGGTGGCTTCACCTTTCACCTTTTGTACTTTTTTCTGAAGAAACTCTCAGATGATAATTCATTCTTACCGCTGCCTTACGTCCCYATGCTCTGCTCCTTCATTAACTTGCACATTAAAAATAATATAAATAAATAAATAAATAAATAAAAACTCATAAACTTATTAGCTTAGCTGAGTTGCAATAATTTAGTTCGCTTTTACTCCTAGGTATGATACATACAAGTGGGCGGGTTTTAAGTCACGTGACACAATAAGCATTTAAGAAAGGAAAATACTTGGCTCGTGAGCGAGGAATTTGATCCTCATCACTATTAAATATTTGACAGAAAAGAAAGAGAAAATGCAACATTTTTATAAAGAAAATAATTGACTCCTAATCTTGTCTCTACCATCATTAAATATTTGATAACGAAATGCAAAAACATGGACCTTTTATAAAATTAGTCAGCTGTCAATTTGTAACGATGATAAGAACAAGATTTGGTCATCACTGTTAAGGAGCCAAATTTAGATGGCTACAAAGAAAATAGACATAATTCAAAAAATTGATGATCGAACTTGTAATTTAACTCCTAACTAGAAAATGAGAACTTTTTTTTTATCCTTTTTGATGGTCTTTTAATATTTTTGACCATTATTATAGGTTGAGAAATATGAGGTCAAAATGGTTAAATAGTAATATTAGTATGGATTAGGAGTTAGGAGTGGTACAATGGGTATTCGTGTCCTCCAGGCTCTATTTACTTCTCCACCTATTTGGTCAATTTTTAATTACAGCCTTTTTCTTTTTCACTTTTTACCGCAAAACTTTCATCTCATCTTAATCCAATACCCAAATCATTTTGGGTTTTGTTCCAAAAATTAATTACTTACGACATCACTTTGATCACTGCTATTTCTTCCTTTTTTTTCAGCTTCATTTRATTTACACTAAACTATTAAAAAGAAAAGAAAACTTTGTCTTTTATTTAAAAAAATATTCTTGTACGCTTACGACTATCAATACTTTTTGATAATCAAGATGTATGAAGAATTCGCTGCTGATAGATCCCACCGCAACCCTAATTGATATTCTTGGATGTTATGTTATCTGAATTCCCTCTTGGGACCTTAATCAACCCCAGGATGTAATGAGTTGACATCRAAGTGCCAAGAACCAAATCACACTTTGTAGGTCTAACCTACAACATCGGGTTTTGGAGAGAAGCCTGCAGATCTGGCACTAATGGCTTCTTCAATCAAGTGATGTTGTAGTCAAACAACAAAAGAATCGAGCTCTTTTGCTTACCCCTATCTCTAAAGTAAACCTRCTTCTGATTTATTTTGTTACCAAAAATAGAGGAGGACCCTTCGTCCGCCGCCAGTGGCAAGCTAGTCCTCTATGTTGGTTGTCCTGGGTCTGGAAGAAGTTTGACTGTTGGGATGAGATCGATCCGACGAGTGATCTATGGAGCTGCATCCCTACTCACTTGGTCAACCTTTYGTGAACATGTCAAAAATACTTTTAGATCGAACATACGTTAAAAGTTGATGTGCCAAAATCTGGAACGACGTGACAATTAACGTATAATATTTATCCAGATTAAATTTGAAAGTAGAGGAAAGGTAGAAAAAGCTATCATTTTTAAAGATATTGATATAAAATTAGGTAGATAAGGAAAAAGCAAACTTTCACTCTGTAGCATCGGAGGAAGAAGACAAGTGAAACTTTTGAAATTAGAATAATAGGAGTATTTTCTATACAAATGCAAAAATTCAATGTTTTTTTTTGGTAGTTTAGCCTTTAATAAAACTAATATTTAACACTTGTATTTGTATATCTAAAATTTGAATATATATTTTTTCTTTTCTAAAATGTGAATATTTCTGTATCTRAAATTTGAATATATTCGCATATACATATATGCACATATATATATTTTTCTTGAGAACGATTTTTTAGTAATGTCAGTGGAAACCCAGAAAACAGATCCATCCTCAGCTTCAGCTTCAGCTTCCGCTAGCTGCGCTTGTTTTGGTGTGATTCAACCAACAGAGAATCCCTCTCTCTCTAAAAATCACAGAGAGAGAGAGAGAAAGAAAAAAAAAAGAGAAACTTAGAGAAATGGAAATGACCCAGAAGCCAAAAATCTAGAGAGAGAAAGAGAAGCTGATGATGRTGAAGTGAAGTGAAGTTTGCATTTGATTAGACCAAAAAACAATCGAAGTTACAGAGACTAATCCTGGTTAATCGCCCATCACAACAAAAATCAAAATCAAAATTCCCCAAAAACAAACCCAGCACAGATTCCATTCCAAAACTACTACTACATATAACTATTCACAAGTATATCCCTCTCTCTCTCTCTCTCTCTCTCTCTCTCTCTAGCTCTGTTTCTCTCAGATCCGGATTTGCAAACATTTCTGGAAAATCCCATCTGGGTTTGGCTGCAATCGGCCCATTTCCAGGCCCCAAATCTCAGAGAACCGATTCAGATTTCAGATTCTGATTCTGATTTTGATTCGAAAAATTTCAGAGTGTAAGAAGAAAAACAGGGGATTTGAGATTTCAGGAGTCGCTGTGGTTATGCCAGCAGATGAGCATGGTGACGCAYCTCCTCATGATGTAGAATCGAGCCCTCTGTTCTTTGACCAATTTCGCACATTTCCTGGTGAAAGAACATCTCCTCTCCGACGAATTTCTCATCAGAGGATACGACGCCGACGACCGGCTTCTCGCCGGAGCTTCCTTCTTCGACAGCTTCCATTTCTCCTCCAGGTAGAACGGCGGCGCAACGGCAGAGGAAACAGAAGCCATTTGAGAACTGAAGTGAGTGAAAGATCGGAGCTTTGAGAGAAGAATGGGGGAAATTTGTAGTGAGAGAAAGTGGATTTTAGAGGGAGGCTCCGGCGGTATTTATAAGGGGAGAGAGAGCCTAAAAGAGGCTAAAGAAAGGGCGTGGCAGTGGGTATCACACCTGCTTTTCTTTCCTTTCTCCATCGAGAGATACGCCATATGAAAACCATCCCTATCCTTTCCAAACCTTTAATACGACTTTCTTTCTTAGTATTTTGAACGGAAAGTTGACGAATCAAAATTTAAAATGAGGTGATCATACATATACTACRATAGATTTGATTATAAAAAAAATTTAAGAGTAGAAAGAATGACGGACCCACAAGTGACTGTTTATGATATGTCAAAAGAATTAGTAGTTTCTATTGTTTTCTGGTACTAAATATTGTAGGATCAGCTAGTTGTTYCACAAGATTAGTCGAGATACGTGTAGGCTGATCCAGACATTYACGGGATATTATTGAACTTTTTGAAAGGACAGACTGTTTTTTAAACAAATGACAAAGTTCTGAGTATTTTTGTAATGTCTACAAAAGTCTCTTAATTTTAAAAAGTGTTTAATATGTTTTTAAATTTTAAATTTTATGTTTAATAAATTTATAAATTCTTTATTGGTCTAATAAGTTTGACATTTTTCAAAAGATTACCAAATTTTTAGATAGGTTTGTAAATTTTAACAACCATTTCAAATATGTCAAGAATGTAATGAACACAAAATTGAAAATATTAATCACTGTTAAAGTTTAAAGACACGTTAGATACAAAATTAAAGGTTTAAAAATTTATTACATTTTTTGAAAATATTAATCACCGTTAAAGTTTAAAGACACATTAGATACAAAATTAAAGGTTTAAAAATTTATTACATTTTTAAAGTTAAGATAGGTAAAGTTGAAAGTTAAATTTGTAATTTAACTTTTATATATATAGTATTATAAAAATAGAGAATCTAATTCGAGTAGGGATTATTA